CTTATTTGTTATATTAGCTAATTTATTTCTAATTTATTACTTTTACTTTGCTATACAACTAGGACTGACTTTTAACTGCATTGGCTTGCTTTCTTGACAATGAACTCAGTTTAAAACTCTATTTTCATTCACTTTTTTGTCTAAATCTTTCTTCCCAATTGACTCCATTTTTAATTTTCTGCCATTTGAGAAGTGGACTCTTTTGAAGAGCCAGATATCCATCACCAGTTGTGGACCTTCTTGTTCAGCCATATCGATTATAATCATGTCATTATCACTGACTCAGGCACCCATCAGCTTCTTGTTCAATGATTAATTGATTGTCTGCTTCGGACACCATTATGGCTGAAAACCCTCACGGCAGCTGCAACACCTTTTTGTGTTAGACAAGCATCATCTGCAATAAACCTTGAACTACATAGTAAACAAGTGTCAAACAAATTTCAAAGAGAAATTAGAAATCCATCGAAAATGAACAACTCTGTCAACACACAGCAAAATTAAGGTGGTAGAAACCAAGGCTTTTATGGGCGTTTCCCTTGCAGCATAATATTCTTTTAATAAGGCAGTAAATACAGAAGCAAAGGAATGCCAGAGAACTGTTTAAATGCCCCTTACGTTATTTTTTGCCAACTTTATGAACTCCGCTGCACAGCCTGGAGAGTTTATAATATTATGACTGCTTGAGAGTCAAAGGCAGCGTGAAAACTGCAAAAACGCCAGTGAAAACATTCACATCTTTGGTATGACTTTACAGTACGTGATGAAGTTGTGGAGTTCATGGCTGCAGGTGGTCAAAGATAATAATTTAATCTTACATATGTATTTATCACATTTAATTCTCAATGATCCCACAGCTACTTAGATAGGAAACATGTCAGCACACAGCTGAAATGCAGCTTTCCCAGAGGTGAACCACGTCAGCTATTTTCAACACTATAGCACAAGTGTAAGATGAAGGGAAATATATCCTCCCCAACTAAAAATGGTAAAGCAATATACTGAGGCTGCAAGTGCGTGACTAGCCGGGGTTGACCTTTCTTCTTTAGCAAGAAGCAGCTTTACATGTTTAGTAGCCGTAGCTGCCAGAGCTTTGGTTTCAAGTGTAATCTAGAAGATGGAAAGCTCAGTAAAGCAGTACCACGCTGCAGCATGGAGTCAGTATTAGTTGGGGATAATGATGCTGAACTCCTTTGTGAATTGCTGAGAGACCGGCTGTATGTGCGGTGTACAGGCTAGCAGGGCTGTGCAAGATGGCAGCGCTCCGTTTCGACATTTCACTGTTCCATTTCAAATTTTTTTTCGAGTTGAAACAGCTGATCCGTTCCGTTTTGTCGACACATTTTTGCCATTTCGACTGTAGGATATAATGGGGATGGTCAAAACAGCCTATAACTTTGTCATTTCTGGCCTGATTTGAATTAAACTTGCAGGAATGGTAGCCCCTTCTGAGGCCACAAAGCCTAAGTTACAAGGAGACAGGTGCAGGAGGGTCAGAGAAACTGCACACCAAAGTCTTGAAAGCAAAACTCATGTCACATGTATGTGCTAAGCCACAGTGGGGTCAAAACTGCAGGCATGCTAGCAACTGTTCACCAGGGCACCCTTGGGGAGAACTAGGAGTAATGGTCACAGTCTGGACACCCTAGCTGTGAAGTAGTTTTTCCTAATGTTGAGCCTGAAATGATCTTCTAGGAGTTTGTGACCATTATTCCTACTTTCTCCAAGGGTGCCCTGGTGAACAGTTGTTCACCAAGCCCTAGATGTATACTTCTGATGTAACAGTAAGTCCCCTCTCAGCTTTCTCTTTTTCAGGCTGAAGAGTCCCAGGTCCCTCAGCCTTTCCTCATATGGCTTGCTGTGCAAGTCTCTAATCGTATGGGTAGCCCTTCTCTGGACTCTCTCAAGCTTTACCACGTCCTTATTAAAGTGCGGAGCCCAGAACTGGACGCAGTACTCCAGCTGCGGTCACACCAATGCTGAGAAGAGCCGAGTAGAGCAGGAGAATCGCTCCTTTGCAATGGTTTTGCTGGAGATGCACCAGTTGATGCATGCCAGCGTATTGTTGGCCCTGCTGGCTACAGCATTGCACTTGTGTTCATACCGTGGTCAATTATTACCCCCAGGTCTGTGGTGGCAAGTGATGGGGGATCTTCAGTCCTGCTGCCTGATGAGAAGCAGCAGTTGCACAAGCACCCATGTCACGAGTTTTTCTGTCAGCAGCGAAGGGTTCAGGGCCCCAGAACCCACCTGCACCTACCTCCTTAACAGCTGGAAAGCTTTGTGGCTGCAGCTAGGCCTGCAGTAGTTTTCCCCTCCGTGCCCCAAGACAGACACAGTTGCACCAGCACCCATGACACAAGTTTGCCTGTCAGCAGCCAGAGGTGCAGGGCCCCAAAACCCCAGCACCGATCTTCGTGAAATCTGGCAGGCTTTGTGGCCTCAGCAGGGGCTAGCAGGCCTGCAGTTTTGACCCCACTGGGGCTTAACACATACACATGACATGAGTTTTGCTTTCAAGATTTTGGGGTGCAGTTACCTCGAGCCCCCTCAACCTATCTCCTTGAAACTGGGCAGCCATCATGCCCTCAGAAGGGGCTACCATTCCTGCAGGTTTCCAAATCAGGCCAGCAATGACAAAGTTATAGGCTGTTTTGACCCTCCCCATTATATCCTAGAGGCAAAACATTGAAGCAGCATCAAAACAGCAAAACGTTTTTGACTTGCCTCGTTTTGTTTCAAGGCTGTTTCAACTACATCTGCTTTATTTTGCTGTTTCAACCTTGAAATGAGTCAAAACAGCATCGAAACAAAACTGGTGTCAAAATTTCGCACAACCCTACAAGCTAGGTATTATTTTGTAGCTCCAGAGGCATGCCTGGTGCTTTGCTCACCAACTAGCTTCATAGTTTCTAGGGTTGGAAGGGACCTGAGCAGATCATCAAGTCCGACCACCTGCCCTGGCAGGAAAGAGCACTGGGGTCAAGCGACCCCAGCAAGGTGTTCATCTAACCTCCTCTTAAAGCCCCCCAGGGTAGGAGCCAGCACCACTTCTCTTGGAAGTTGGTTCCAGATCCTAGCCGCCCGGACTGTGAAGTCGCGCCTCCTGATGTCTAGTCTGAATCTACTCTCTGCCAGCTTGTGACCGTTATTTCTAGTCACTCCTGGTCATGCTTGAGGGAACAGGGACTCCCCCAATGCCTGCTGGTCCCCTCTGACTACATATAGTTCTTTGTTCTGAGCAGGTTACTATCTAAGACAGACCAAGATCCACAAGGAATAACAAGCTAAAACGGGCAGGAGAAATGCTTCTGTGATGCAGATCGTTGGTTCTTCCCCATCCCTTTCTTATTTGAATATGTAAGTTTATTTAAGTCCAAAGTTAAAGGGACCTAAATAAGGTGAGAGAGCAGTAGATGCAAGATAACAGTTGGATGGTGAAATAAAAAGCAGTTCTAGAAAAGACTTGAAAGAAGAGACAGGCTGGCTGACATGCCACTCTGAGGGGATGCTCTGCTAAGGAACAAAGATAAAGGCAGAGACCAATGGGAGGACACACAACTGTGATGCCCAGGAACAACTGCCACATGTTGAAGATTTGGAAATCTCCCATCGTGGAATTGGAGACAGCACAATCTTGTTTAGCCAGCCTTGCCTAATTTATAATTAAGGGGGCAGTATTGGCTGCGATTTCAGGATAAAAAGCTCTCAGGTGGATTTTAAGATGCCGGGAGAGCATTTTAAGATTGATATCTGCAAGCTGAGAGAAGGGCAGCTAAATACTTCAGGTACGTACTGTCCGTCTGTGGGGAGGTGGAAGGAAGCCTTGCAAACACAACTAGGCACATTATGAATTCTAAGCATGGGACTGACCTGTGAAGCTACAGGACCACCAAACAAGGCAGAGCACTTCAGCAGACAAATTAATGGTTTGATCTGGTACAGCAAGCATAATGGGAAGGAAAAAAAACCCACTAAGAGACCAGAGGAATGAGAGGACTGAGATCTCTCTCTAGCTTGCAACACTATACCGTCACAGAATATGAAAGCTCAGTTTAGAATCAAGTGTCAACAGTATAAATGGTATGTTCCAGCTGGATGAAACTGCAAATTATTGCTTCATTTTTTACAAAGTGATTCTATGATGTCATATTCGTGTGTTTTTAAGTGGCATCTCTCTCGAGGTCTCAACCAGAGCATAATAAATGCAGTGTCTCAACCCTGCTGGCTAATTAAAGCACCCACCTGAACGTTTATAAGCGAAGTAAAGTGCAATTCTGCCCCTGACCACTGTCCCACGAAAAATTCATAGCCTTCTTTCCTTGGCAAAGCACACAGGAACTGCGGAGAAAAGACAGTCAGGATCAATCGGGCTCCCAGCCCAGGTCACAAGAAACTGGAGTCCCCACCACATAAACAAGACTTAATGTGAATCACAATAATAAGAAGTTTATGGAGACACAGCTTCACCCACATGCCTGGAAAAGGTCCCCCCCCAAAAAGCCTGCATTGAGACTTACTGGCAGGGCAGCGCAGGGAAAACTGCACTACTGCTTCCTGCATTATACCTGTTTCTGGATAATGACGGTATCAATCTTTTGGGATATTGAAGCATTAGTATTGACTAGCTTATTAAAGATATGCCAAACCCGTAAGCTTTAATATATCAGAACAGCAATGAAACCTTAAAATTAAACTGGGTAGACTACAGCAAGGGAACACATGCAAGCATGTACACACAGACACGTGCACACAACCCATTTGGTTTATCAATCCATTAAATTTTTGCTCTTCTCCCCAAGCCCACAGAATTATAGAAAATGAGGGTTGGAAGGGACACCAGGAGGTCACATCTAGTCCAACCCCCTGCTCAAAGCAGGACCAGCCCCAACCAGATCATTCCAGCCAGGGATTTGTCAAGTTGGGCCTTAAAAATCTCCAAAAAGTTCACCCTTTTCCAGCTGTTTGTACAAACTCTGTCTCACAATAGCCTGAAAGCATCTTCCCTCTGGAGATATAATGACCTACGTAGCTTCATAAACTGAGTAGCAACACAGGTATCACTTTTACGCTAAAAGAAAGGACTGCATGAACCAAAAGCCATCAGATGATACTGCTGATGCACTGGTTCTCTGCACAGCAACACACAGATTAATACGGATTATTTCCCAAGCTCTCATTAACCTTTACTGTAGAAATCCAAATACATTGGACATGGTTCTCAGGAGATGAGATAGCATTCTCGGCGAATTGTTGTATTGTCTCTTCGTTCACAGCCACAAAACCATCATTCCTGCCAGTGCAATGGGATCTGGCTACACTGTAGTTTTATTGACCAGTGAAGCATTTCACTCCCAGCTTTGTGCAAATTGGACTGTGCTAGTTTATGCTTCGCTGCACAGTTGACTGCAAGGACATGGTCCATCATAATGGAAAACAATACTAATGCACCAGCATGGGGTAGGAAAATGAAGACAGATAATATTTGTTTTCTAGTTATTTTGTCCCTACCTTTTTGGCAACTTAATTTCTTAAGCAACAGCATGCTCCTTTGCACAGAAAGCTTGTCATTGCAAAACACAAGATACAAACAAATCCATGCTCAAAACTGGAGCAGATAAAGCACATCCATTTAATTTCTGGAGGGTGCTTTCGCCATTTTCCCCTATGTGCTGCTTTACAAATAATAGAAGTCAGATACTTTGCAAGGTTAAGTTGTGGGATCTAGGTGCGGTATCCATCACTGTTACCAATTTACTGGCTGAACTGGCCATGTGTGGAGAACAGCACTAAAAATGCAGCCGCACAGAGGTTATTCTAACTGCGAAGCTGCAGCGCTGTAACCTGGGAGGCAGGATTCAGTGCCCCATGACGTAGGGGAAGACCAGTGACATGGGCTTTGTTCACAAAAAGGGTTTGGTCTGTTGTTAAGTGATATGACACCAGCAGCCCTCAGTGGAAAGAATCCCATTCAGCTTAAGCCCTCAGCCATTGGACTAATAAAGTCATGACGAGATTAAGAGCCATAAACTATATGGGAAGGTACACAATTGCACCAGAGAAGTTAGCATAAAGGATCCAGCTCTTTGCGGTGTTGCACTCAGGACAGCTAAGCACCCGACACCAACTGAGGATAGTTTTGAATTGCTAAATTTCTGTTGCATAACCAATGCTGGAAGACTTTCTGCTACACAGGTACACTTGTAGAAATGCCTGCCGGTTATGCTCATAATGAATTGGCTTATAAATGTGAACAGCCTTCTCTCCTTATCTGGACAAATATTTAAACATCTGGCTTTCATTAATCAGGCTGCTGCAATTAGGTTGAATATTGAGGTCAGAAGTTTACAAACTAGGCCCCAGACAGAATTAAAGTTGTATATACACACAAGACACACGTATGCACCCCGTACTTACTGTAGGGCACTTCTGGGCTCTCTTCCATATCAAATCAAATTTCTCTGCCTTCAAACAGGAAAAACAATAATTACCTCTCATAAAAGAAAAGCAACAGGTGGACAGTCATCACTGGGAAACATTTCATTCATTTTTTATAAGGTTAGGTTGCATCTACAGTAGGTCTCTGATGTGCAAACGTTAACAATCAAGTACTGGTTAAGCTGTGTTAATTAGTGCACAACTGAATGCATGAAGTTACATTTTGCTCTTGGCTCCATAAATACCATCAGTGCCTTGTCTTGACAATGCAGTCCCAGATGCCTTCAATTAGGTCTTGAAATTCAAAGTCGTTGTCCCTTGAACAATGTCTAAGTCAGCTTATGCTACATCTCCTCGGCTTTATCCACCTCCAGTGGGGAGCCAAGTGCTTTATAGACAAACAAGAGTTGTGGTCCAAAGGAATTTACATTCTAGCGCTTCTGTTATTTTGTCATTACTGTATCACTGGCCAAGGAGTTGACCAACATTTGTTTTACAGAATGGCATTAGAAATGTAAACAATCTGTACACAACTGTGCTGTACATGCAGTTTTGTTGAGTAACCACGTACTCTAGTTCTAGTCTCCTCCATACTCCCCCATGCCATGTTTTCTGTATCCCTTCAGCACGCCATTCGTTACTACAAGTTACAAATTCTTCAGGGGAGGAGACACGTGCTGTTTATCTGTGTGATGGCCTTGATATGCTGGTGAGCACTGTAGAACTGTATTAGCCTGTCGGCTAACTATAGCTGCTGACTGCCGAAACACACTTGCTTCCACTGATGGAAACACCTGCTATGTATTGCTTTCTTACATTGCATCTGGTGAGTAACAAGGCTTTAGAAACCTTTCAAGACCGCTCAAAAAAAAAAAAATGATGCACTGCAGAGCAGTGACATCTTTGTTGTTCTTAATTAATAGGTCACATGCTCATATAGTAATTTTATTATTAACTGACATCCCTTATTTTTATATAATAATCACTGACAATGCACGTAATGCAAAAGCAAATGAATGCATTATTTATTTTTTTTTTAAAGGTTAATCGCTGTTGCCTGGCTGTGCGTGCTGGGAGAAAAGCAGTCCCCCCGCCCCTTGCTGCTGCTGGGCGCTGAAGCTGTGGCAGGGCAGGGTGAGGTGCCTCCTCTTTCCATGGGGGAAGTGGGCAGGGGGGCCCTTTGAGGGTGGTGGGGAGCTCTGTGGCCAGGCCAATGACACAGCGGCTGGTGCTCATGCTTGAAAGGGCCAGGCAGCCCCAGGAGATGCTGCTGGAGGGAGCAGGGGCTGCAGGTCAGGAGCGAGACGCACTGGCAGTGCCAGGGGCTGTGGGTCAGGAGTGAGGTGTGCCCCTGACAGGTGTCCTCTTTTTTGGAATTGGAAATACGGTAACCCTAGTTTTACTTTGTTCGCTTATTGGTCTTAATCACTAGGTGTAAGTTAGCACAGTTCCACTCTGTTTTTATGGAACTGAGTTGTCATTCAAATCAATTGATTTGAAAGTATAGAAAAAACATCCAAAAATATTTATAATAAATTTGGATTCTATTACTGTTTAACCGATTAAAATTGTGATTAATCGCAACTTTTTAATTTCACAATTAATCACAATTATTTTAATTGTTTGACAGGCCTAAATATATAGTGTTTATATATTGCGATTGCATTGCTATTATTTACATTTCTTGATATTAGATATCCTCTATGGCACACAAACATTATATCGTAAAAAACATGGAAAATGTGGAGACTGCAGAGTCAAGAAATCAAGTAGCTGGGAAAGGACAGAATTATAGTTACCAGTATAATTCACCCACTGTGAATGCACTAGGATACAGGCTTGTATTATATATTCACACCCCACCTCTGGAAAGCATCTTGTTTCATTTACTGCAGAGAATGGACAGAGCTCAACTCACGAGCAACTATTCAGTATTTTGTTTTAACAAGGCTTTTTTTTACTGCAGAGTATTCCTACCATGGTCCGAAGAGAACTATTTGTTTCTCAATGCCTTTCCCTGACACTCACCAGCACAGAGACTCAGCAGTTCACAAATATTTTCTAACCACTGTTTTGGGGGAAAAGTGCTATTATTTCTATGTTCTATACGGAGGGCCAAGGTCAGCAAGATTTTAAGTTTAAACATGTCCACTAATTCTAGGTGTCTGGTTGGAAACACCTTGAACCTGACTTTTCAGAGCACTCTATAAAACATTCAAACCACTGCTCTAATACATGTCTGTTATAGAGGCGAATGCTTGGTGCCTCTATAAGTCAGACCCCAGGGTCTCCAACCAGGCATCAAGAAAGTAAGAAACACACCACTGAGGACTGCCTGTTTACAAGATGTAACTAGCATCACACAGGAATTCTGTGGCGGAAGCAGAGGACAGTTTCAGCCTGAGGTAACCAGACTGCATGGAAATTTCAGCTCAAACATTTAAGTTTAGCAGTTATAAGCAACCACCAACACAGTGCCATAAGATTGCCTGATGTTTCCCATTAACAGTCAATAATTTCATGCAAGCCCAGTGCTACATGCCGGACGTATGCAAGGCTTAGTTTTAATGCCACTGCAGAAGAACAGAGGCTGAAGCCACAGAAATGGCCCATTCTGAAAAGCAGTGATTTGGAAAATGCACAAACTGCAGCCTGGATATACACACGGGGTCTGTTCCAAAGAGCACTGGGGTCAATGGAAACCTATCAAGCCTGGCTTTCATATTACTGAACTTGCATGCCAGGCTACGCCCCATCGTCCTGCCATGGAAGCTGGTGTTAGGGATCTCTTTCATGAAGTGATTGGTTGCTGTTTTTTTTCTTTTGTTTAGAAACGACGCGCACAAAGGAGCAGAGAAGCTTGTCTGGCAAAGCCTTTCTGTGCTGACCTCCACTGTATACATTTTGTTGAGGGAGTGACTTACAGGAATTACGGCATAAATGGTATCTTTTGAAGAAAAATGCTGATTCCAAATCTGTAAGAAAGGAGGGAAATTAGATTTAACAGAGATCAAAACAAGCATATATAGGATTTGTGTTTCTTTAACAGTGTTCATTGGTTAACTAATCCTGGCTTGCAAGCATTTACAACCAAGGGCTATTTTTCATATATGTTTTGTTCGATGCCTATAGCAGGAAGGCTAAAATCTCTTTTTATAGAAAAGTTCTAAGACTAATGGTAGCAGATGGCCTATTATGCGCGCTTACATTGTGCAATAAAGGAGACTGGATTAGATTGACCCATTATGGAATCCATGTGCTTATGATATACATTTCTGGCAACGCGCTGCCTTATGCCACAGATTTAGAAATGGTTGCCCACAGTTTGTTAGTTAGGAGAAGTGCTTCTGACCAGGTATCTTATAATAATATGCATAAGGTTCTTTTTGAGTAAGGAATATAAAAAAAAACATCCCCCATGAGGTTTTTGGGGTTTTTTTTCTTCATTTAATACAGAACCTTTGAATTTACCGCTGCCCTTCTTCTGAGGACTTTGAAACTTTTTATAAAGATGGTTTGGTACCAATATTTCCATTACGCGTATGAAGACGGTGACTTGCACGAACTGTCCCGAGTTACTGATAAACTCTGTGACAGCTAGAAATAAAATCTGCAGGCCCACGCCTCTTTTCTAACTGCCAAAAAACCCTCCCTCCCTGTAACCTGCACTGATTAATCACATTTCTCTACAGGCTGTTTAAACAATAAGATCTGGAAGTGTATTTTTGTCCCTAGCAACCTGGTGCGCACAAAGTTTCCTCTTGCATATCTCACTGCCTTTGAATATAATGAGCAAACAGAGAAACTAGGGGAGAGTTAGCTTGCTTCAGAGATGTAGAATGGAAGGAGATATCTTCCCCAACAAAATGAAAGGGAATATGGAGCTCAGTGTAATGCCTATAACTGTATCAGGAAATCAACCTTTAGTTCTAACTTACCTTTTTTTTTAAAGAAAAATTTGCTTTCATTTACTCACCTTAAGCAGTTAGTACTAGTGAAAAGGTACTGGACTGATAGTCATGGATGCCAACAACTAAAGGGATTCAGCACAGGAAACACTGCCTACCTCCAAACTACCTCACCAACATGCTTTCACTCTAATTAAGTGGTTTTTCTGCTCAGTCCTATCGCCACACACGTTCAGTTGCTGGAATGCTGCAAGGTCCTCTGAAGGCAACTGTTTGCTAATCAGGTCTGGACACAAGTTACAGATCAGCCCAGAGGTGGGGTATTCCATGTGCCCAATTTACAAGACCAATTTGATTTTCTCAAAGCAAGGAATCTTTGCAGCTATTCTTCTTCCAACTTCCAATATCTTATGTAAAATATTCATCAGCCTAGTTTCAGAATGAGAACAACATTTAAATGGAAGAAGTTTCAATTAAAAACTTATCACCTGTTTTATTTCCTCTGCTGTTTTGTCTTTCACCATCTCAACATTCAGTACCGAATCAAGCGTCTGCAACAAAATCACAAGGAATTTAGCATGAAAGTGGGGTAGCACAAAAGTCTGTGTACAAATCCAGGCTGTAGAGTTACAGATGACATCTCTATACCTTCATACTTTTGATTGTCAAAAATAGCCCTATAACAGAAAGAAGTGGAGGTATACACTGAACTGTGTTACTGAAAGAGTACATGCATCCAGTTATAGCATTTATTTAGGTTCAGTTCCACAGTTCCTAATTGTAATATGCCTCATGAGATTGTCAAACGTGTTGAGTATTTTCTCTTTCTACCGTTACTCGAACGTGCCCTGCTGGTTGGTAGCTTTCACAATGCAGAAATCAATGCCAGACTGAAACGTTAACACAGTATAGTCCCTCGGAAGCAACTCCCCAGGCTGGACAATGGAAATCCCCCATCAGCACTAAGGGGAGCTTAACCTTTTGTTATCGATTTGTTTGCACTGAAAATACATCCCCAGACTAGACAGAACTTCCAATATTGCACAGGAAAAAAGGACTGGATTCAAAACCACTGAAATGCCCTGGTTTTAAGACTTCGGGACAATTTCAGTTTTACAAGATTATCTTAAAATGAGATGCAACGCAGGGAACTGTGGATAATTATATCCTGTGCAACCATTCATCACTGTAAGTTTTGAAAGCGCAGGCTAGAAAAGCACTTGGCTGAGATGGTTTAGACAGGGACGATCCTTCTCTGAGCAGCAATTTTGGGCTAGATGACCTCTTGAGGGCCCTTCCGGCACTACTCTTCTAGGATTCAATTTGGCCAAAGCATAATGCACCATTTAAAATCAATTTCCATGTTGGAACAACAGGCATAACATACCTTGATATTTAGGTCCACTGTATCTTACCTTATGTTTTGTGAATCCGCCCTTTAATGTCTTTGTACCCGATGATTCTGCCTAAAATAAAACATAAAAGACTTTTGGGTAAAGCCTGCTTTAATCTGATGAGTATAACCTGCCCACTTACAAGATCTTTTCAGCACTGTCCTGAGACAAAAGAAAAAGCTAAAGATTTTCAGATGCCACAAACAACCTACTGCAGTCAAAGGGGCATTGACATGGCCCAAAACTGGACCTCAAGCTTTTCATTACAATGAGTAATTCACAACCAAGACACCATCCCTCAGTTTCTCTATTCTTGGGACCACACAAAGAAATACAAATAAGCAATAAATACAGAAACCAGAGAAGGGCATCCACGTTGTAGCCATACTGGTTTAGAGGAAAAAGGAATTGGAATTTGTGGGAGAGGGGAATCTCTTTTATTACACCAATTAGAGGTTTGCAAAAAAAAAAAAAAAATAATAATAATAATAATAATTTTTGCAAACCTTTAGTTGGTCTAATAAAAGAGATCCCCACTCCTACGAGTCCCAATGCCAGAAACCAAAGGAATTAAATCTCTTTTAACCCGCTAACTCTCCCCCTGCAGATATGAATTACTGAATGACTCAGAATTGACTTAATGATGGAGAATCCAGCACTTGCGATTTTTCTGCTGGGACACAGGCCAATAAAACCAAGTAGCTGGATACCAGCAATATTTGTGAGCAACAGTTTTCCCCTCAGGTGTAATGATAAATGATGGACTCATTAGCGAGGATACGAGAAGGCTGCTGTTGACTCTCTCCCAACAGGAGACGCGCGTTTGTAACAAGCTAGCCCTTTCATCCACTCCTTTAATAGCAAACCTAGATATTTTTCATCCCAGGCAATTCCTATTCCAGAATCAGATCCTTAAAGAAGGACAATTTCAAGCCACCATACTGAAATAAACAGAACGCAAATTACGCAGAAAATGAGCCTTACCTTTTCGTCCATATATTTCATAAATTCCACTTGTTTGCAATATCCTACCGGCTGCTTTTTCAGTTCATTTAGTTTCTCCAGACGAGACTCAAAAAGTTCTGGATCGGAACTAAAACAAAGAAACTATTACTAGCACTGCGTGGTCATGGGGATGGCGGGGGGCGCTTGCATTGTAAAAACCGGCCTGCCATAGCCAGGCTTTCCATTTTCAAACTATTTCAGGACTTCCCATAGGAAGGACTAATCCTGATGCCTAAACTGATGGAGCTGGGACATGTCTCCCCCGCCACGTCCACAGCCCCAGGAAATCTTCTGTCCCCTCTGGAACCCCAACCCCCTGCGTCCCCCAACCTGGGGCTCCAGGCGCCTCCCCCTGCCACCCAAACACCGCCCAGCCTGCTCTGCCCAACCCCCACAACCACCAGGCTCTTCCCCCACTGACCCCGCCCCTCCTCAAGACATCCCATTAGCCCTCCCCCTGCCAA